GACTCTTTTGCTCTATCTTCTTCCTTTTTGGACGCCACTGTACTTTAGTGTATGATCATAGTGGGGTTCAAGCTAGGGGTTAACGCTTGAAATATTCCCTACAGTCACCCATCTTAAAAATTTCTTCAGTTTCCTCTTCTGAAGATGAACTCTCACTTAGTGGCAACGAAATCTGACGAGCTTGCTCCAGTATCCGAGCACAAGTCCTTTTAGCTACAAAAGATGTAGAAAAAGGATTAATTATTAGTCCCGTGCTCCTTACTGCAAATTCCCTTAATCTTTGATTCTTCAAATTTCTGTCACACGTAAACAAACAAGGAACTAGATGACAAGTTAGTAAGGAAAGTTAGTAAAAACACAAGTATTAATATAATAAAACACCAAGTCCCTGAAAACGGCGCTAAAATTTTATACAACTGTCGCGTATCTGCCAAATATAAACCTAACTAAAACCTCCTAAAATGCAGTAGGGTAAGCTAGGGTCGATCCCACAGAGAATGGGATTATCAAATTATTACTTGTGTAAGTTAGAAACCCCTGTTTTGATGAAATAATGATATGATCTAATAAATAAACGACTAACTAGATAACAAATAAAGCACGGAGAAATAAACTAATAAAAACAGAAATACGATAATATCAAGAATAATGAAATAGGGAATCGGGAGATGTATTATAACATTGGAGTATCAATTATTGCTCATCGAATATACAAATTACATTTATTTCTTAATGTTAAACAATGAACACAAACAAGCATTCGAAACTTCCCTTAATTGCAAATACTCCAAACAAGCTCTCGCAATATTGTCTAACTAACTAATAATCTAGAACAAGCTATCTAGACTCGATTAATTAGCCGCATTAATAACAAGGAAGTAGTTAACTTAAGCCACGAATCTCACAATTACGGATCACAAGCTAATACTCTAGTCGTCAAACTAGCAAATTATACTAAAGATGTCCGGTCTCAAACATAATCAACTAGTTCATAATATTCAAGCGGATTATCAAACCAATTAAGAATATAAACATAATACCCAAGAACTACAACATATCAATTCTCACAATCCAATAATCCAATGCATAATTGATCTCCTTACCCCACTAATAATTTAGCCCGACATAACAAATATTAAGGTAGCTATAATATAACGCATAAAAATCATAATCAAACTAATTAACAAAACAAATAAACGAAAATAGAACTAATAATTAAATTAATCTAGCAAATTAAATTGTATACTAGCTAAGTATACTGTCGCATTCAAGCAAAGATAGCAAAGTGAAAGCACTGACTTTCATTATTATTCTCCAAAAGCAAAACTAATACTACTACTTCAAGATAAACCAAGACTTACAATCAAATGAAAAGAAAATGTAAACAAAAATACAGTACCAAATCTTCCAATGAGAATTAGAGTAAACACAAACTAAACCGAGTCGCCTTCTAGTCCGTCTTGCTTATACCCTGTTCGCTAGATACCACGTGTATGGGAAGATATGTAAAATGGGCCGAAATCTTTTACAAATATGGACCTGAACCTAGAAGAGCTGATAAATGGGCATATATGTTTGATAAAGCAGGCATGTTGGCCTGTCGGTATTCGGCACGTGGCGACAACAAGTTGACACTTGGCAAGAAAGGCTTTGCATGCTTTGTAGCCACCTGTCTTGGTATTTATTATAAATAGTTGGTTAAGGAGCCATTAATGAAGGTAATTAATGACACAGCCTCTCTCTCTCTCTCTCTCTCTCTCTTTCTTTCTCTAAATTCTCTTTCTTCATCACAAACTGACTTTGTCATCGGAGCGGTTATCCCTAGAATACCCCAGGTTTAGCTAATCGTTTCTCTTTGTGTAGGTTCTCTTCTGGCCGATAGGAGCTTAACGGGTTGCATACTCGTGCTTTGGACTTTTGGATCGGGTTTTCGGATCCTTGCAGGAACAATTAGCGCTAGAAGGAGGGGAAGTAGCATAATTGCTTCTATCGCCTAAGAACCTCACATCCTACAACAAAAAAAAAAGAAAAATGCCTGAAAACCAGAGTACGCCGATAGCCGAGAAGGTAGTTAATCGGACAATTAGAGTGGGAACTGGGGTACCGAATCCGGAGATTGAAATTGATGATGAAACCCATACTTTAGAAGGTAACCATTTCCATATGCTGTTAACCCCGAAAGGTCAAGGAGAAGGGGATCAGGATCCAATGGCTGAGTTCACGCCAGAAGAACTTGAAACAACAACGAGGGTAATGAGTGCCATGAGTAGAAAAAGGAAGGAGGCTAGAGCAACCCAAGATTGGGAAGGGGTGCCGATTACTGGTCGTGGTAACCAATCAAATCGGGTTGGTAGTTCACAAAGGCGTCGACATGACAGGTCGCCGATAAGGTCACATCCGACTCAATGGGAGTCAGAAGTTCAATCTACAGGTCCAGTTGTAAGCACCGAAAATCAGCAGCAAGGGGCAGTGCGAACGATAGTCCAGTTGAGGGCATCGCCTAATACACAAGGGATCTTAGACCAGCCTATGGAAAAGATAAAAATGCCAACATGTCGATATGATGGAAGAGGGGATCCATGCCGGTATATAACCTCTTATGAAGGGCACATGATCTTGTATACAAAATTGGACGCTGTATGGTGCAAAGTTTTTCCGACTACTTTGACGGGGGCAGCGGCAGATTGGTTTAACAACCTAGGAAATGGAACTATAGACAGCTTTAAGAAACTGACAGAGATGTTTGTTAGGCAATATATCAGCAACAGTGTGAGACAAAGGACTTCGGGGGAATTCATGGCAGTAGAGCAACGACCGGATGAATCTCTGAGAGACTATATCAGACGATTTAATAATGAGGCGAACACAATCCCAAAATTGCAACAGGAAATAGCTGTAATGGCTCTCATGAACGGCTTGAATGATTCTGAGTTCAAGCGTTATCTCACAAGAAAGAATTTTCCTACGTTGGCAGTCGCCTTTAACAAGGCACATGATTACATAAAAAGTGAAGAGTTGATGAAGACAAGCATCAAAAGTGTACCGGCTGGAAGGTATCAGGCTGAGGGATTGGCTTCCGGAAGTGCGAGATCGAGAGTTCCAGCCCCGGAAAGGGGTGGAAATCGGCAGGAGGCAAGGGCAGCAAAACCGCCAATGCGATACAGTTTGTATACCCCCCTTAATACACCAAGGGCGGCAATTTACTCGGTGAATCAGAATAGGGAAGGATGGGTGAGGCCGATTCCAATGAAAGCGAAACCAAGGGATGCCAAGAAATACTGCATGTTTCATAGAGATATGGGTCACTATACAGAGGATTGTATGCAATTGAAAGATAATATAGAAGAACTGATAAGAAAGGGTCACTTAGCTCAATACCGGCTAAATGCGTGTGGATGCCAGCCGCCACCCCGACAAATTGAAAGGCAGCAACTTGAAGTAAGGCAAGAAAGGCCACAGGGTAGTGTGATCCGACAGGGAGGTGGAGGAATCCCGCCGTTATCAACGGGAAGAGGATTTGATGTGATAACCGGAGGGCCGGTGCATGGAGGGACGATAAGTGGAGCAAAGAAGCACTTATCAGAGCACCGCCATATAATTAATGCCCTAGTACCGATAGCCGCCCCAGGCCAACTTCGATCCCAGACGTTGTATTCACTAAAGAGGATACAAGGGGGATAGTATTTCCGCATGATGACCTGCTGGTGCTGATAACAAAGATTAACGGAGCTGACATAAAAAGAGTTCTAGTAGATGGAGGAAGTTCAGCTAATGTTCTTTTTATGAAGGCCTTCAATGAGATGATGATAGGAAGGCAATACCTGACGCCGGTATCGTGCCTAGTTATTGGATTTAATGGGTCTTCAGTACGACCAGAGGGGAGCATAGTCTTGCCGGTACGACTGGGTGATGGGCCTACAGCGAGAGACGTGATGACAGAGTTTTTGGTAGTCAATGTTCCATCGGCTTATAATGCGATTATTGGAAGGCCGATATTTCATGATGTCCATGTTGTTGTGTCAACATACCATTTGACGATAGCTTATGTGTCAAATTTGGGAGCTGTAGAAAAGGTTCATGGGGGGCAAGTTTTGGCGAAGTCTTGTTATTTAACGGCTTTGAAGAATCCGGTCGGAGATGGTTCAGTACCGAGTAATCCTAAAAAAGAGCTGGAGCCCACAGTACGTGACTTATCCATGGGTAACTTTGACACAAGGCCGGAAATAGCTCCGAGACCATTAACAGGAGGGGAAACGGTGCAGGTTGAGTTGCAACCAGGTGACTCCAGCAGAACGGTTAGGGTTGAAGCCGATATGGATGTTGACATGAGGTGTAATCTGATAAGCCTGTTGCGCGAAAATGCATATGTCTTTGCTTTATCAGCGAGTGAAATGCCAGGAATACACCCGGGGGTGATGGAACATAAATTGAATGTCAATAGGGGGTTTAGGCCGGTAAGACAGAAAAAGCGGAACTTCTCTACTGAGAAGATAGAAGCTATACAGGCTGAAGTTAACAAGCTCTTAGCGGCGAGTTTTATTGAGATGTGCACATATCCAGAGTGGTTGGAAAATGTTGTTATGGTAAGAAAGCCGACAGGAAAATGGCGAATGTGTGTCGACTTTACCGATTTGAATAGGGCTTGTCCTAAGGATTGTTGTCCATTGCCCCGGATAGACAGACTGATGGTTTCTACTTCTGGTCACGAGATGCTCAGCTTTTTAGATGCTTTTTCATGGTATCATCAGGTCAGCCTTCATAAAGCCGACAGACTAAAAACGGCCTTCATAACGGATGATGGGGTATTTTGCTATAAAGTCATGTCGTTTGGGTTAAAGAATGCCGGGGCAACATATCTGAAGTTGGTTGACAAGATTTTTGAGAGGCAAAAGGGCCGGAATGTGGAGGTGTAAGTGGATGACACAATTGTTAAAAGTAAGAAAAAGCAGGATCACATAGCAGATTTGAGGGAGACATTTGAAACTTTACGAAAATATCAGATGAAATTGAATCCCAAGAAGTGTGTATTCGGAGTTCGATCAGGGAAGTTTTTAGGCTTCATGGTTAGCGAACGGGGAATAGATGCAAATCCTGATAAGGTGAATGCGGTGCTTGAGATGAAGCAGCCAAAGACAATCCGAGATATGCAAAGGATAACTGGCCGAATGGTAGGGTTAACTCGTTTTATCAGCAAATCAGCTGGTAAGGCACTTCCCTTTTTGTGGTTCTACGGAAGAACAAGGTGTTTGAATGGGGAAAAGAACAGCGGGACGCGCTAGAGGTGGTACGAAATCATTTGAAATCTCTCCCAACAGTTGCAAGGCCGGAAAGGGGGGGAATAGCTGCAATTATACATCTCAGCGTCTCCAAAGACAATAGCTGCAGTGTTAGCAGTGGAGAGGAAGAAGCAACAAATGCCGATATACTTTGTTAGTCATGTACTGAATGCGATAGAGCGCCGGTATCCGATAATTGAGAAAATGGAATTGGCAGTGGTGGTTGCGGCAAGGAAGTTAAGGCCCTTCGGATCATATGTTCGCTTCCTCTCCAAAAGCTTCGCTTAAGCGACTCGCGTTAGAAAGAGAGCGGATAATTCCCCCCGAAGGGGTGGTCTAAGTAAAGCCAACAATCAGTATCGATTGTTGAAGCCAGGGCTTCAACCTAATTCCAAAACACTATGTCACCCTGCCTTTTCTTTTGTGCCGAGACCTTGATTGAGGCTGTTTGATTCGCCAACCTTAGCAAATAAGAGGCAATCCTTCGATTTCGAAGAATCTGCACTTGGCCTGAAAGTCCCATCCCTAGGACCTGTAGAACAAGAAAGCTTCGACACAAGAGATTAGGACAGAGAGGTTAGAGATCTCAAGTTGGTTCATCCAACCAGAATAGTTTGGGTCTCGTTACGCTGTCTTGGATGTTGAGCCGGAAAGCTGAGGGGATCCAGCTTTAAGAGTAACAGGCCAATAAAAGAAGGTTTGTTACTTTTTCTCTAGGGTGAGATAGATGTTCTAATGAATTATCCATTGGAAAAATCATTTCACAAGATGGATACGTCAGGAAGATTGCTAAAATGGGCTGTGAAATTATCGGAGTATGAGATACATTATAAGCCCAGGGTATCAATAAAGGCACATGCCTTGTCTGACTTCATAGTAGAGGCTTCATATACAGATGAAGAAGAAGATATAGGCACTTGGCAGGTTTCAATAGTTTGTAATTTAATGACTGAAATTTAATAAAGTTTTTGGTGTTTTCTCTTCTTTTTATATACAGAGCAATCAAATACATATTTAGCTTATGACATGTTTTTTTTTGCCAACATATAATGTCACAAGTATCTATGGATGGATCCGCGACATCAATAGGATAAGGGGCTGGCATAGTCATAACGTCTCTAGATGGCTAGGTATTTGAGTATGTAGTAAAATTTAAATTCAAGGTAACAAACAACGAAGCTGAGTATGAAGCAGCGTTGGTAGGAATTCAGTTATCTATTGCAGCCGAGGAAAAGCGTTTAGTGCTGACAACTGATTCCCAACTCGTGTCAAGTCAGTACAAAGGGGAGTATGAGACACGAGAGCAATCAATGGTTAAATACCTGGAAAAGATAAATCAATTGACGGCACAACTGCAGTATTTTGAAATAAAGCTTGTGCCGAGAGCCCAGAATGCGCAAGCAGATGCTTTAGCAAGGTTGGCAAGTTCGAGTTTTAATAACTTAGAAAGAACTGTGATGGTTGAGATTTTGGGTGAGAAGAGTATAGATGAAGCACCAGAACAGGTGCTTTGTGTTGATAGTGCCACCCAGTGGTATGATAACAAACTAGCATATCTCGTCCATGGGGTGCTACCGGCAGATAAGGGAGAATCACAAAAGTTGCGAAAGGATAGTGTATGGTTCATTATGCATCAAGGAAAGTTGTACAAAAGAAGCTTTTCATACTATTGATCAGATGCATAAGTAACCTTGAGTCAAAAAGGTTGGTTGAAGAAATACACGAGGTTACATGTGGAAATCACCTCGGACCGAGAGTTCTATTAAGAGAAGCAATGATGAAAGGCTACTACTGGCCGACCATGAATGAAGATGCGGTACGATATGCGAAAGCGTGTGAAAAATGCCAAAAGTTCGCGCCAGCTATCAACCTACCACCAAATTATTTAACACCGATATTAAATCTAATTCCTTTTGCACAATAGGGAATGGATATAGTAGGGCCGTTTCCATCAGCAACAGGCGGCAGGAAATTTTTATTGGTGGCTGTAGATTATTTCACAAAATGGATTGAAGCTGAGCCGGTAGCAAAGATAACAGTAGTAGAGGTGAAAAAATACATTTGGAAAAACATTTTCACAAGGTTTGGATTACTTTTCATTGATGTATCATATCATCGAGATCCAATTCAAACCACGATGTCATGTTCTTGTTCTTGAATGGGTCTCTTTCATTTTTTTAGGTTTATGCTCTACTCCGGGTAAAGATCTGTCCGATTTTGATTTGCACATATAGGGCAAATGTTTCCAATACCACTTGTTTGTTTTTTTTATTTCATATCTTTTCTTGCATCAATTTCAATATTCAATCATTACTTTATTCGATTGCTTGAGATCACTCTTTTTCGAGTTTCAATTTGAAATTGAAACGATTAAGTGTTAAAGTAAATAAACTATATAGCAGTAATCTTCAATATATTTCCAATTGGGATTGGGTTTTTATAAACGGAGCCTGGATACTTGATTTTATTGGTCCACCCGAGCCAACCATAAATTTTATTAATTGATAATATTAATTTGAATCCTCCGAAAACTAAAAATAGATCTAATTCCATTTCACGCTCCAAATTTTGGATGATTCAATCAATCTTTCTTGGGTGAAAGGGAGGATATCTCAATCGGGAGAGAGAACGGGGAAATCCCATATGAGCAAGATATCTGACAAGCCGCACTATACGTCAACCCAAGCTGCATCTTCCTCTCCAGGACTTCGAAAGGGAACTTTTGGAACACCAATAGGCATTAAATGAAAGAAAAAAATTAAGTACTCTATTTCACTTTAATGTGGAAACGTAATAATTTAGGGTTATTGTCTTTATAATATCAATCTTTATTAGATTTTCTGCATAGAATAGAAAGGTTTAGTTTAAGAAGACGGAATAAATAAAGGAAAATTCTTACCAATATAGCCTTCCAATACTAAAGAAGTATGAAAGCATTTACTCATGGACGGTGGTATCAACTCCCCATTGCGTATTGCTACTTATCGGGTATAGAATAGATTTGTTTCTCTTTGTTCCTACAAACTTAATTTTTCCATTATTACAAACAGAATAGAACAAAAATTAACCCTTGTTCCGAGATAATCTATTGAACAAAAGGGATCCATTGCATAGTCATAGTCTTTTCCAATGCAATAAAGTTACATAGTGTCATTTTTGATAAAGGGGTATTTCTATGGGTTTGCCTTGGTATCGTGTTCATACCGTCGTATTGAATGATCCCGGTCGGTTGATTTCTGTTCATATCATGTATACAGCTCTGGTTGCTGGTTGGGCCGGTTCGATGGCTCTATATGAATTAGCAGTTTTTGATCCCTCTGACCCCGTTCTTGATCCAATGTGGAGACAGGGTATGTTCGTTATACCTTTCATGACTCGTTTAGGAATAACCAATTCGTGGGGCGGTTGGAGTATTACAGGGGGGACTATAACGGACCCTGGCATTTGGAGTTACGAAGGTGTGGCCGGAGCGCATATTATGTTTTATGGCTTATGCTTTTTAGCAGCTATTTGGCATTGGGTGTATTGGGATCTAGAAATATTTTCTGATGAACGTACAGGAAAACCTTCTTTGGATTTGCCTAAGATTTTTGGAATTCATTTATTTCTTCCCGGGGTCGCTTGTTTTGGTTTTGGTGCATTTCATGTAACAGGCTTGTACGGGCCCGGAATATGGGTATCGGATCCTTATGGACTAACTGGAAAAGTACAACCTGTAAGTCCCGCATGGGGCGTGGAAGGTTTTGACCCTTTTGTTCTAGGAGGAATAGCCTCTCATCATATTGCAGCAGGCACATTAGGGATATTAGCTGGCCTATTCCATCTTAGCGTCCGTCCGCCTCAACGCCTATACAAAGGATTACGTATGGGCAATATTGAAACCGTTCTTTCTAGTAGTATCGCTGTTGTCTTTTTTGCGGCTTTTGTTGTTGCAGGAACTATGTGGTATGGTTCAGCAACTACCCCGATCGAATTATTTGGACCCACTCGTTATCAATGGGATCAGGGATACTTTCAGCAAGAAATATACCGACGGATAAGTGCTGGGCTAGCCGAAAATCAAAGTTTATCAGAAGCTTGGTCGAAAATTCCCGAGAAATTGGCTTTTTATGATTACATTGGCAATAATCCAGCGAAAGGAGGATTATTTAGAGCGGGATCAATGGACAACGGCGATGGAATAGCCGTTGGATGGTTAGGACACCCCGTTTTTGAGATAAAGACGGACGTGAACTCTTTGTACGACGTATGCCTCCTTTTTTTGAAACCTTTCCGGTCGTTTTAATAGACGGGGACGGAATTGTTAGAGCTGATGTTCCTTTTAAAAGAGCAGAATCTAAGTATAGCGTTGAACAAGTAGGTGTAACTGTTGAGTTTTACGGCGGCGAACTAAACGGAGTCAGTTATAGCGATCCTGCTACTGTGAAAAAATATGCTAGGCGTGCTCAATTGGGTGAAATTTTCGAATTAGACCGTGCTACTTTGAAATCAGATGGTGTTTTTCGCAGTAGTCCAAGAGGTTGGTTTACTTTTGGCCATGCTTCCTTTGCCCTACTCTTTTTCTTCGGACACATTTGGCACGGGTCTAGAACCTTATTCAGAGATGTTTTTGCTGGGATTGACCCCGATTTGGATGTTCAAGTAGAATTTGGCGCATTCCAAAAAATTGGAGACCCAACTACAAGAAGACAAGGAGTTTAATACAACATTGCTTTTTTGCTTCTATTTTTTTTTATTTGACAGAGGATACTAGAGCAATCTTGATTTGAATTACCACCGTTTTGTTATCATTATTGGGAAAATAATCTCAAGTAAACAGGTATGGAAGCTATAATTGTAAACCACAATCGAATCTATGGAAGCATTGGTTTATACATTTCTATTAGTCTCTACTCTAGGGATAATTTTTTTCTCTATTTTTTTTTTCGGGAACCTCCTAAAATTTCAACTAAAAAATGAAATGATTTTTCATCATTTCAATTGAAGTAATGAGCCTTCCAATATTGGAAGGCTCATTACTTCGACTAATCTCCGTGTTCCTCGAAAGGATCTCTTAGTTGTTGAGAGGGTTGCCCAAAAGCGGTATATAAGGCATACCCGGTAAAACTTACAAGTAAACCAAATATAAAGATGGCGACTAGGGTTGCTGTTTCCATTATTATATAATTTTAAGACCACAATGGATCTATGATAAAATCATTTATTTACAACGGAATGGTATACAAAGTCAACAGATCTCAATGAATATAATCGAATTTATGGCTACACAAACCGTTGAGAGTAGTTCTAGATCTCGTCCAAAACCTACTACCGTAGGGGTTCTTTTGAAACCCTTGAATTCGGAATATGGTAAAGTAGCTCCTGGGTGGGGAACTACTCCTTTGATGGGAGTTGCGATGGCTTTATTTGCAGTATTCCTTTCTATTATTTTGGAAATTTATAATTCTTCCGTTTTACTGGATGGAATTTCAATGAATTAAATCCACAAAAACAAAAAAATGAAAGACAAAAGAACCGGAAAGTTCTAGCCTTTCAATACAAACAATACGGCCATGGTTCTTGACCATGGATCTCATTTTGATTGTAAGCCGGTAAAAGAGCTCCTATCAATGTACAAGGTTAAGTTTGCATATGCAGTGGTGTGTCATCCGCAATCGAATGGACAAGCCGAAGCAGCTAATAAACAAATAATAACGGCAATTAAGAAGAAGATAGAAGATGCAAAGGGGCTATGGGCTAACCTGGTGCCAGAAATATTGTGGGCTAATAGAACAACGACCAAAGAGGCAACGGGTGAACCGCCTTTCACATCGGTTTTTGGAACAGAAGCAGTAGTGCCGGCAGAGGTAGGGTTGCCAACATTTAGAATTCAACACTACTGTGAAGAGGAGAACGATCTTTTATTACGGCAACAATTAGATTTCCTACCAAAAGTGCGTGAAAAGAAGCAATTAGATCAGCTGCCTATAAAAACAGAATGACAAGGGCTTACAACAAGCGCGTCAATCATCGGCCTCTTGCTGTAGGAGACCTTGTACTACAAAGAACAACTTCAACCGGGAAAGGGAATGAAGACAGAAAGTTGACGGCAAATTGGGAAGGACCTTATCGTATTAGAGATATGGTAATGCAGGGTTCATATTTCTTAGAAACAATTGATGGAAAGCCATTAAAGAATGTTTGGAACACAGCTGTATTAAAGAAATATTTTGAGTAATATGTTGTACTTAGAAAGATAAACAATGTTAAGTATTCGGAAAATATCAAAAATAAATGCAAGCAGTTTTGAAGAAAATTTTTCATGATATAGGCATCCTCTACTTAACATAATATCGTTATGTAGGATGGACAGCTAAAAACCACTTTCGTGAAGTCAATAAGCTTATAACCTGATCAGTTATAAACATTGATTCGCGAGGTTGCTGGTTCAATGTATAATACCGGTTAAATCGGTTCAAGTATATGCTGAATTGAAGCATAGCTTTGAATACGATCGCCGAGAGGATACTTCACTGCCTACAACTATAGCGCAGTAAGTAATCAAAGCTATGAAATGAACCAGCAAGAAGTGTATATAGTTATTTCTTAACCATATACACTGTGGGGGTAGAATGGATATAACATCTGCATATAAGTTTGTGCTTGAATTATTTTTAAATGTATAAGTTTGTCT